CCTAATGGCGAATATATCATTCACCCTGGCCTCCGACTTCTTAGCCCCGGCGTGGGCGGTGACGAACTTGTCGGCCATTTCTTCGAACGTTGTTATTGATCGTGCCGGTAATTGTGAATACCAGGTTAAGGCTCCTCCCGTTAGGGTCTCGCCGAACTTCTTCAGTAACACTGATGGTACCTACTCCTTCGAAAGGTCGTTGCCTTTTACCGCTGTGACGTAATGAATGATGTGATCTTCGGGGTCTGTGGTGCTGTCGTATATTTTCAAATACGGTGGCATTTTGAAGGTCTTGGGTATGGCGTGTGGGGCTGCCTCTTCGCTGTACGGTTGTTCGACAAATCGGCCTACATTCCGTTTTGGTAGTAGCTTTGGGGCGCCCGGTATCTTATCGACCCTTTCTTGATGTTCCTTCATCTGGTCGCGGAGTGCTTTGTTCTCGTTTTTCATTTCTTTCATTTTCTTTAGAATGGCCGCAAGTGCATCATACCTGCATCAACAGCGGTGCGAGTGTTACCTGTCGGGAGAGCGGGTTGATCGCCGGTGGTTGCTGTGGTATCCGTTGGCGCGGCATTTCTATTCGCCCTTTGAATGGGTTTGTCGAGTATGTTATTTAGAGTACTTGTCAGCCACTCCTCTAGTAACTTTTTTTGCTGCTGGTGGTGCTTCCTCAGCTGTGGACGTGGAAGCTCCCTTTTCGCGTGAAGCGGTTACACTTCCATGAGGGGGAAGGGGGTGAATCACTCCGCCTGGGTGTATCACTTGGCGTCACATTCTCGTCGTCCTCTCTGTCATCGTCATTGATGGTGTTTAATATATTGGTAGTGACACCTACTATCTCTTTCTGTCTTTCATCTCCCTTTCCTGCCATTGTTAGTTCGTGTATACAAGGAAAAGATGGCTGTCCTTTTTTATGATCTAGAAAAACTAAAATTTTAACTAAAACTTCCCACAGACGGCGCCAAATTGTTTGACCAAAAAGTGTTGAGCTTTTTGTTAAACTAATTAATGATAAAGCAGAGGATGAATCTTAGTTAAATATAATAAATTCTAAATCTAATATTGAAGGATTTCGACAGTACGGATAATGTTTAAGGATAGTGAATATCATATATGAGCTCAATGATTGCTAATGAATGTTATGATAATAAGAGCATGCAATAAATGTAGACAATGGCAATAAATGTAATAAGAGAAATTTATCACCCAAATGTTATGTGACTTGGATGATTCTTCCACCTGACAGCAACGTGGAAGGATGGGAAGTGAAGATAGATAAAGAATCCTCGGATCTAGCAAACAGAGAATGAATAATGTGTGTTGAGCCAAATAGTCAGTGAACAAGACAGTATTTGTATATTCCTCTTTGTCAACTCTTTACAAAGTATGCTTATCAAAAAGTGAAATCCCCCTTTCGTTCTCTATCTTTTCCTATTTATAAGAAATATTTCTAAGAAACCCTAAAAAGTACAATATAAGGAATATCCAAAGGAATATTCCTCATGTTCATTTCTAAGCCTATCCTACAGTTACTTCTTTACTCCAGTTGCTCGTCCTCGGCAATAATCCTTCTAAGCACGACTCCTCGTTGTTATGCCGTGGTCGACCCCGTCCTTGACCTAATTTATCTACCGTTATCAAGTCGCCAAATTTGGACCAATACAATTATTAATGTAATTAGATCCATTGTAACCCTCAAAGTTGAAGGGATTAAACATTCGCACCTCCATTTTGCAGAGACATAATTAATGTGTACAGCTAGTCCATTTACTCCAATTAGGTAAAGGTGCAGCATATCCAATCTTTGAAATTTTCAAGTCCCGAAGTACTGAATCTCTCATTTTTTACCAAATCGTAAATTCTTAATAGTACCTAACACATGACTTCCCTTCTTTTTGGACAAATGACCAATAGTTTTCTGGTGTTGACTGGCAGGAAAAGGTCATTTTTTACAAAGTGGTTAGGATTAATTAATGGGTTATTGAAAGATATGTCACATACGATAGATAGAACCGTTTATGAGAATGTGTTTATTGAGAGAGCAAAAAGATGTTATTCAGTGTTAATCACAATACAACTGCAAGAGTTTTAATTTTTTTTTTCAATTTCGCCACAGAAGAAAAAGAATTATTTGATCGTTTGACATTGAAACCATTAATCTAAAAGAGAAATTTTGTGGCTGGAACCAACAAATCGGGCAAAGACAAGTTGAATAGCCAAACTAACTGGTTTTGCTCCTAAAAATTTCAATATGATAAGGGATTCAGCTTATATGTATTCATAGCGTAAACAAATATTCACTTTTCAGTGTATTTAATATATCATACTATGTTGCGTACCTTATGGTCCAAATTTGGCGACTCGGCGGTAACGGATAGGTAAGACAAAGGACGAGGTCGACCATGGTGTAACAACTGAAGGTTGCTCTCAAGAAAGCTGGTGCCAAAAACTGGGCATCCGAGATGAAGAAATAACGGTAGCATAGGTTCAGATATGGACATAAAGAATATTCCTTTAAATATTCCCTATTTTGTACTTTTTAGGATTTTTGGGAAATATCCCTTATAAATAGGAAGAGATAGAGAACAAAAGGTCTCTCCAGACTTTATGAGAAGAAAAACACACTGTAAAGGTTGACAAAAGAGAATATACAAAAGTTGTCTTGTTCACTGATTATATCATTCAAACACAAGTTGTTCAATCTTTGTTCACAAGATCCAAAGATTCCATACCCATCTTCACTTCTCACATTTCCACGTCGTTGACAGAAGAAAGGAACATCCCAATCATACAATAATTGGGTGGTAGATCCTTTCTTATTACATTTATTGTCATTATCTACATTTATTACATACTCATGCTATCATAATCATATTCACTGTCAATCATTGAGTATTAAATCCGTTATTTAATGCTCTTGAGCATTGTTCATCTCGCGAGTATCCTGTTATATTCGCTCTAGAATTTATTAAGTTCAACTAAGATTCGCCCTTTAATTCATCATTAATTGGTTTAGCTAAAAGGTTTAATACTTTTTTGGTCAAACATCTTACTTTCCAGCCTATTAATCCCATTTATTATGAATAACTACTTAGTATAATTTTTTAGATGACCTATAAATATATATGCAATCGATGTATGATTCCTCGGTATAAAAACTAGGGCGCTATTCAATGTTGCAATAATTAGAGAGCGATTAATCTGCTAAGCCATACTATAAAAGGTTGGGAGGGGAGGTTGAAGTGAGGGTAAGGAACAGTGCGTCCATTTCTGAGAACCAGTTTGGTTTCATGCCGGAGCATTTGACTATGGAAGCCATTCACATTGTGAGGAGAATAGTGGAGCGGTATAGGGAGATGAAGAAGGACTTGCACATGGTGTTCATTGACCTAGAGAAAGCATATGATAAAGTCTCGAGAGAGGTGCTCTGGCGATGATTGGAGGCTAAAGGGGTCCCGGTAGCCTACATTAGGGTGATTAAGGACATGTATGATGAAGCTAAGACTCGGGTTAGGGCAGCGGAAGGAGACTCGGAACACTTTCCGGTTATGATGGGGTTGCACCACAGATCAGCTCTTAGTCCGTTCCTATTTTCCTTGGTGATGGACGCATTGACGAGACACATTCAAGGTGAGGTGCCATGGTGTATGTTATTTGCTGATGACATAGTTTTAATTGACGAGATGAGGGCTGGTGTTAACGAGAGGCTGGAGGTTTGGAGGCAGATCCTAGAGTCTAAGGGTTTCAAGTTGAGCAGGACCAAGACGGAATACATGGAGTGCAAGTTCAGCAACGGTACCCAGGAAAGGGATATGGAGGTGAGGCTTGATACACAAGTCATCCCCGATAGAGGTAGTTTCAGTATCTTGGATCTATAATAGAAGGTAACGGGGAGATTGATGAAGATGTCACGCATCGTAACGGAGCAGGATGAATGAAGTGGAGGCTCGCTTCCGGTGTCTTTTGTGATAGGAATGTGCCACTGATACTTAAAGGTAAGTTCTACAAGGTTGTAGTTAGACCGACTATGTTATATGGAGCAGAGTGTTGGCCGGTCAAGATGAGGTGGATGTGTGGGCATACCCGGTTGGATAAGATCAGGAATGAAATTATTGGAAAAAAGGTGGGACTGGCCCTTCTGGAGGATAAGATGCGGGAGGCGAGGTTGAGATGGTTTGGACATGTTAAGAGGAGAAGTATAGAAGCCCCAGTTAGAAGTTGCGAGCAGTTAGCCTCGGTGGGCAGCATGAGGGGTAGAGATAGGCCTAAGAAGTCTTGGGGAGAGGTTATTAGGCGGGACATGAGAGCTGAGTGAGAACATAGCCCTAGACAGGAGGGTGTGGAGGTCAAAGATTAGGGTAGAAGGTTCGTAGGTAGTCGAGCGTTTCTCTTTGTTTAGCTCAGTTCGCTAGCATTAGTGTTAGTATGATATCTTTTATTCATAGATGGCTATTACTACATAGAGTTCGAGTGCATTCTTAGATTCGATCTTATTTCATCTTGCTGTTATTCCTACTTGTTGCAATTACCTTTTCTTTTTCAGTTGTTCTCTAGCCGAGGGTCTATCGGAAACAGCCTCTCTGCCCTTCAAGGGACAAGGGTAAGGCTGCGTACATTTTAGCTTCCCAAGACCCCATTCGTGGGAAACTACTAGATTTGTTGTTATTGATGTATAGAAGTTAAATTCGCTCTTATTTTTTATGTTCTCTTTTTGGTGCAAGAGAAGGTCATGACAAGTAATGAACCAAATGCCAATGCCCAATTAATCATGCTAGTTCGATCGAAACGACAACTTTATAATCATAGCAGCAAACCACTTTGGAAATTAATGAATGGATATATATATAATATATATATATATATATAATATATATATATATATATATATATATATATATATATATTATTATATATATATAATATATATATATATATATAAAGATGCTCCTGCCATCATATTGTCTCTCCAAGTTTTAACAATATTCGCATATACTTAATGATATTGGAAACTCCACCAATTCATTCATGCTATATAGCTATCAATGGTTATTTACAAATGTTATGATTCAATATTTCAAAACTTTTCTTAGTAAAAAAGATGCATGGTCCTCCCCCACTCCCCTTGCTAAAGGTGCAATAGATTTTTTTCCTTTTCCTTTTCCTTTTCATAATGGTGGACTGGGGTAAGGGAGATGAGGGATTTCACTATGATCAAATTAAAGAAGTTCATATTTATATATTCAAAATTATATAATATTACTCACTTTTTCTTCCGCTTTTTTTTTGTGTTGTTTTTTCGGGTTTGTACAGAGTAGTAATCAAGTACTATCATCACTATTGGTAGGGCTAGCTGAGAGCACTTGCTTTTTAAGGTTATCAATGATCATAACCAATTTTGTGTTGAAACGATTCACGAAGCATTTTGGTAACCATCCTGCTGGATCCAGCTGAAATTTAATCAATAAACAAAAAACAAAAGGATTAGTTTCATTTGGAATTTGCATTTTGTGAAATTAAAATATAATTTGCGCTAACGGCCAGTTAAGTGAATGAAAATAATAAGAAACTGTGATTCAAATTCTCTCAAAGCCAGAATTTTAGGTAATTTATTCCATCTGCCTAAACCTAACAAAGTTATCAGTACTCGTGGTCAGGGGGCGGATGTAGCTCTATAACACCGGGTTCAATTGAACCATAACGTTCGGTGTGGAGTACAAATTTATATATAAAAAACCACTAAAATCGCAATAATTATAAATATGAACATATAACTTCAGGATATAATGGGTTCAACACTAAGAACCTTAAAGGTTGAACCCATAGAATTTAAATCATCGATCCGCCTCTGCTCGTGGTGTTCGAAGGTAAAACGTGTTCAGTGTGCAAGTCGGTTTGTATATCGCGGTTAATTATTAAAAAAAATATATGATATTTTTTTATTGAAAATTTAAAAAAATTACCTGGACAACGTAAGTGACCATGCAAGAGTTATCGTGAAGTTTCTCAACAACCCATCCAGATTGCAACAATAGTCCTCGAATTGCATTGTTTTGCTTTGGGTGCAAACCTGCTGCTATTTCTTTAGGCAGAGAAGCTACTGCTACTACCTGCAATTTTTTAAATTAAATTTTCTCCACATAATCTTTTTTAAAAAAAAAAAGAATCATTTAATAATTTACATTAGAATAGTAGTAATATACCAGGGTTCCATCATCCATGGTTTCACGACGTTCATAGACAATAAATTCTCTGTTTCTGAAGAGAGGCTTTGAATTTTCCCCAAATCTAAGCCGTATAATACTCAGGTTATCTTCTAGATCCTTTATGTATCTTGCTTCTACTAAATCTCTGTCCCATTGCTGTAATTTCGTCCATTCATCCAAAAAAAAAAAAAAAATCTCTAAGCCATTTTCTTTAAAAAAATATATATATATCTATAACAGTCATCTTTTATAACAACAATTCAATGTGGTATAAAAAAATATCAAAATAAACGAGGTTGTTACTCACCCTAGCAGCATCAATGGCATTAGCCACAGTAATAAACTGTTGAGGAGATACAGATTTCAGCAACCAACGGCTACGGAAAGTGTGAAGTGAACCTGAACGGCGTTTCGATATCTCCACGCCGTTATCTACCCCAAGTATTTTCCAGCCGTCATTATTCCCACTTTTTGAATCTGAAGCTGATAACAACTCTTGGATGCAATTTTCACTTGCATAAAACACATATCTTCTCAACGAGTCCTCACTAATTGACCTACACAAACAGAAAATTTAATCTCGAATTTAGTTGCCGTTTGCAAAAACAAATAACTTTTCATAGCAAGTCCGATATGATAATCTGAAAAATAAATTAACTTACCATGATCTACTACAAGGTGTAGGACTGGAAGTATTACTCATCTTGAATAATTGTACAAAACTTATAGTGAGAGTTTAAGAATGGTGTTGTTTAGTTTTGTTCCTCAAACTCAGGGAAAAAAATAGATGAATTTAAGAAGGATATATATGGCTGAGAGGGGGTAGGGGAGTAGTAGTGGGGTGGATGGTTGTTACATCAAAGTACAATCTTAGATTGTTTTGAAAGAAAAGATGGGAAAGTTATATAATTTATAAATCTTTAAAATAATAAGAAGTGGGAAGAGGTGATTGATGCACATGGAATGCCAGAGAAAAACTCCATGATTAGAACAGACTACTGCTAGTCATTATCTTCACTCTTATTTCATCAATTCCCTGTGTCAAAATGACCGGTCGGATTCATTATTTATTTTCCTAGCTGATATACACAGATTATATATTAATTATATATAAAAAGGGGCAGCCCGATATACTAAGTTCCTGCTATGCACGTGGTACGGGGAAGGGCCGGATCACAAGGGTCTATTGTATGCAGTCTTACCCTGCATTTCTACCAGAGGCTGTTTTCACGGCTCGAACCCGTGACTACCTGATCACATGGCAGCAACTTTACTAGTTGCGCCAAGGCTCCGCTTCTAATTATATACAATTATACACTTATTATATATAATTTATAAATATTTAATATATCTGACGGTTATTCTTAGTTTAAGCGATTGGATGAGTAACTAATTCTTCGTCTTTGTTTTTCATATCTTCTCTTAGTTCTTTTTCTCTCTTTTTTTTCTTCTAACATAAAAGAAGCTACCAAACATACCATGTGCATCATCTTTCCCACTCCCTTAGCCCCTTTGTACCTCTTTTTCGAATAAAAGCATCTTTCTTTTTTATCTACAAAAAAAAATGAAATGAAGAAAAAGACTAACAACTAAAGCCAGACTAATATATTGCTCATAATTCATTTATTTTCTACCTAAACTTGCTTGGTTATGGGTGACAACAACATACACAAAAGGTTCCATCTTTTAACTTCGGTCCCCTCAATCACGTGCCACTTAGCTAACTCACAAAAATGTAACACAAACAAATACCCTAATAGACAAAAGTTAAATTACTTTCTTACTGAAAAAGAATTAGAGTATTATTTGCTTTACAATTTTTTTTCTTTGTTTTTAAAATAATAAATATAAATCCAATCAAAGTACTAGAATAATTCTGCAGTAACAGTGGCTGCTAAACCAGCCAAATCAGTTCTCTGTACTTGAAAAGTAAAACAGTTTCACTTATTACTTTTATGGTATTTTATAACTTATCTTTCGATGATAAAAAATAAAAATAAAAATCAGTTTTGGAGCTATTATGCTGAATTCTGATTCTCACACAGCAACAGAGCATGGAGTTGTACGGAATTCAAGAAAGCATCACGAATCAATCTTTTCAAAAGCAAAAGTAATGACTGTAGGGAATTCATATAACCCACTCCAGCGAGTTTTCGATTTGGATACCTATCATTTTGTTCAATGTAAAAAAAAAAGTCTTATCATAAAGTTAAATATTCGCAATAATAATCACCTCTGGATCCTAATAGATGGAGAAAATAAGTTAAAATAGTACGGGCTAGCCAATTTTCGAACTGATAATTGAAAAAAAGCCAGTGTATGCAATATCATTAAAAAATAGCCGTTATTTTGCTGCAAGACGAAAAGTTACAACATAATATACTAGAGATTGGACCACCTTGTATGAACTTCCAGCATATTATGCTGGAACTCCAGCACATCTCATATAAAAAATTCGAACTCCAACATATTATGTTAGCATATTTTCCGGATTTTGAACCAATTTTGTTCAGATTTATCTATTTTTTAACTAACACTTATAAATCTGGCTATTTTTGAATTTCACCCGGAAAATAAAGATCATGAATTTCAACAAGTGTCCATTATATTATATTAATCAAAACGAGAGGTAATCCATTGTTTTAATCATCACAGTGAATTAAAAACAAAAAAAGGTGATGATCCGTTAATCTCATTGGAAAACTAAAGCAACAATGGATGTCACCATATGTGCAGGTATAATAATTACTATCATTACAGAGATAAATCATAAATGAATTTAAAAAGTCAATTAAATTACCCAAAAAGACAGATAGAAATCATTCATTTAATGGTAATTATGAATCCATCTAAGCCAAAAAAAAAAAAAAGAGAGAGAGAGAATCATGTGAATTTCTAAAAGCAAGTGGGTTCAACATAATTAATTCTACTGTTGCTTGAGGAAGCCTTTGGCTTTAAGGCTATCCACTGTGTCCCTAACAGCATCTTCAACTGGGGTGAAAACTAGTCCCAAATCAATCAATTTTTTAGCAGCATCTTTGCAACCCACTAAGCCTGGCTGGGTTTCGCCTGTGAACCTGTTTTCAAAATTTTATTCAGCATTATTTGAGACAAGACCAGACCTATCATAAGAAAAGGAATCTTTTTTCTTATAAAAAAATGGTAAATTATGCAATCGAAACTAAGACGAGAGAAATTCTCAAAACGGAAATATAAAAGCTTATTTTCTGATTCAACTTTATGTGTCTTGCCTGATTTCATCACCTAGATTTATGGTCCTTTGCAACTAGTATTCTAGCAGAGTTACTGTCAAACCTTTCAATTTGACGAAATAATATTTCAAGGAGTAAATAAAAGTATAGAATAAAGGAAATCGTTAGTAAAGTGGCACTAGTTTTGCACATGAATTTGTAGAAAAGCGCATTCAATGCTCATGAAAATGCAGCCCACAGTCAACTTGGTAATAAGTCATTGGCTAAATAAATGCAGTTAGGAGACATTTCAATATGAGGCACATGGTAGTTAGGAGCAAACCGATGGTTAATAGATCATTTCCATTCCATGAAAATCCAAATACTCTAGCACAAAGAGACAAACTAGATTGTACTGAAATAAAATTCGGACATGAGGAGTTTATAAAGCCAGTTTCTTGCTTATGAGGTGTCTAATGGCCCTTATTAAATAAAGTTAAGCTGATTAAGCAGACCCTGGTACAAATTATGGAAATGTCGACCTTAGCAACATATCTCAATCGAAAAGCTATTCAGGATAACAAGAATAGAATCTCCAAAAGGAAAGGATAAGCTCAATGGGAAACATGAAAGGTGACCAGTGGGACTTGGAATGGCTATAGATGTAGCTAGCAGTTCATAGTGGGGTTTCTTTGGGTAGCCTAACAGTTTTGTAGTGGGGTTGTTAAGGCCTAGACGACATAAAGGTGGTCTTGATTCTTGACAGTTGTGACTTTCTGAATGTATGAGCAATTAGAATTCCTTTAAGCTAATACTGAGGTGGGGGTCAATGTATCAAATGAGAGCAATATATACCTATACTCCTAGAAGTTAGGTTTTTACTGATAACTTAAGTTCATGCCAAAGTGATGACAGTGGAAGCTCCAATGCTTGGCCCCTTCCAACTACCCCACTACTATAAACCATGTAGTAGTTGATTCTACACTAGATGAAAGTATTATTGCCCTACAAATATTTAGTAGTCACTCCATTATATCACTTATCAATCTTGTATGAAATGTAAGAACACAATGTTAATAGATTTTCTGCAGAGCATAGTATAGTAGTCTGCCTCCCATTTTCATTGACCTACTTCCTATTTTCTACAACGATTTATACGAATATAAACTAATACTTCTTCACACTATTTCAAATTTACCCTTAACATTTGAAAGCTCTACCTTTTTCACATCTCAAAATAATGTTTAAGCATTTAACCTTATTCAGTAATATAACATTCAGACATTTTACTCGTAATCTCTCTAAAGTTCAAATGGTGGCCGATTAAAGGGACATAGGAAGTAGCTTGAAATGTAAAACTGAAGTAATTAGTTGAAATACGTTTTATCGATTTGACATAAAATAAACTAGTGTTAATTTAATTATTAGTTGGAGGTGTTGGTGCACAAAAGAAGTCCTTTTAAAAGAAAAGGTCAAACTTTTCAGGACAAGCCAGAGCAAAAGTAAGTGATTTCCATTGAGATGGAGGAAATAGTGTGGTGATAAAAGTGATTTTCTATATGTAGTGCTGAAGAAAGTCTAGTAACTACAACTTAGAATTCAGTGTGATAGAACTTAGAATTTTATTTGTTGGGAAGAATATAGGACTGGATTAACATATGTGAATTCATGGCTTTCCATCAGATTTACTCAGGCTTTTCAAAAGTCTGAAACAGAATCCATATACTGATATATGTGTTATTTTTGCCAACAGTAGGGAGAAGCAGTCAAAGAAGATTAAACTTGAAGATGGCATATTATCTTTGAATTGAATGCGAAAGAGAATTAAAAGGAAATTACTTACTAGAGAGAGGGGCAAAAGATGAGCTAAAGATATGACAACAAACCTGTGGGTAGGGAATTCAGGGTAAAGTTTCGAGACTCTTTCAGCAAAATCACTAAACTGGTAAATGCCATTGGTACACAGGTGTCTTCCAGAAGCATGAGGGGACTCGAACAACAAAATCTGTGCCTTCGCCACATCTTTGACGTGCACAGCCCCCAACCAATGATACTCTTGAGTGTCTGTTGATCCCTGAAGCAGCTGTTGCAAAACAGCGCAGCTTGCATTCAGTCCAGGTTGCAAGAGTTGGCCAAGACATGTAGCTGGATTAATTGCTACCACATCCAATCCATTCTTCTCAGCAAATTCCCATGCAGCCTTCTCAGCAAGTGTCTTCGAGACTGGGTACCATTTCTGTCATCAAACTCGATTATGATTATTGTGTTTAATCAAATAATTGAAGTGGCATGGATGAGTGATAATTTTATCATATATGTTCATCGCAGAATCAGGAACTGTCAAGTTTTGAATCCTTACAATTTTTTTTAAATAACAGTAAACTTAGAAGTTAAGGAAATAAAAAAGAATTTGTCTGTATATTATGACATGGTAAATAATTGAGTACATCACCCTCGATAATACTAGAGTATACAAGAGTATTAGAGTTTAGAGTACTGGATATGCAAGCAACAATCTCTATATAAGCCTAAAGCTCTGGAATAAGTAAATAACTAAGCTATATAATTAATAAACCAATCATTTCAGACGATTATACTACTACTTACAAAGTTACAGGCGCTATGTTGAAGGGCAAGTGAAATACATATTAAGCAGTGTTCCTCTTTTGGAATGTCAATTGTTTTTGCTCCATCTTTTCTCTAT